TGAATGTGTACTGTTGACATGAGCAAGGCCATGTGGAGGAATCCAAAGCCTCAGCCTCATGAAAGTGGCACCGCCTTCCCTGTGTGAGGCTCAGAGGGGTGGAAAAGCTCTCCCGGGGAGTCTGAGTGTTTGTGGACAATTGGTCAGTGCATATAAAGACTAGCATCTGCAGCTTCCTCTGGATGTTTACAGCCTGTGTAGTGGCACACGCCTTTAATCCCAACAGTCAGGAGGTAAAGACTGAGGCTAGCCTGATCTACAGAGACAGTTCCAGGACAGCCAGGGCTGCATAAAGAAAGCCTGTCTCAAAAGCAAAAACAAGATGACAGCCTGAGACTGCTCACCTACAGAGACTGTTCCTGTGTTGTTCCTATTAAACACACTGAGGTTCTGGGTTGGGACCTCTAGCAGACTCCAACTGAGCCCAATTTGCTCTATGTATACCTGTGTCTCTTCATTCTTCAGTTCCTCAACAGCCCTAGTCAGGGTTCCAGAACACAAGCCTTGAAGAACACAGCACTAGATAGTCCTACTTTGAACTCATGGGCAGAACCTACCCAGCATGTGTCCCGGCGATTCCCACATCTTCCCTGCCCCATCCTGAGCCAAGCCACATTCATCTTTCAGCTGGTAACTACAATGACTTGCTACTATGTCTCTCTTCTGCCTCTATGGTCCTGGTCTCCGCGGCTCTTTCAGTGTTATAATCATAGTGAACTTTAAGATGTAAGCCAAGAGGGTTGAAAAATGACCCAGTGGTTCGGAATGCTTACTGCTCTAGCAGCGGACTAGAATTTGGATCCCTGAACACACATTAGGCAGCTCACAAGTACCTGTAGCTTCTATGAGTGCCCCTCAAAACACACACACACACAAATAAATAAATAAATAAAACCTTTTTTAAACTAAAATAATAACAATAATAGAAATGTAAGTCACACCATCCTCCTCTCAAACCCAGAGTGAAAGCTGAGGTCCTTGTAAGAGCCATTCAGTCACTATACGACCTGCTTGTTTCTCAGTGTGACTTCTACTTCTCCCACATTTACTTAGCCCCGGTGTGGTGGTGGTGTGAATAGGAATAGCCCCATATGCTCACATATTTGAATGTATGGTCCTTAGGGAGTGGTGACTCTTGACTGGGCTTAGGA